AAGTTGGCACTAGCGGGAAAGATGGTGGATGAGGACACATTCACCTTGAACCTGCTCACCGGACTGCCGGCACACTGGGAGGAGATGAGGCACTCGGCAATGCTACACAACGTGACGGACAGTTTCACCTTACAGCGGATGATGATTCGGGAGCAGAGATATCAAGACCTCATTACCAAGGCGAATCGTGACCGGCGTCCACCTCGCATGGCTGGACAAGCCCGTGGAGACTGTTCACCTTCTCCAACTGCTAAGGGCGTATTCCTGGACCTCGTGTCAAGCTGTGTTTGTGTCAACCTAGAATCTTGGAACGCATGCGATTGGTTTAAAAGGTACAACTGGCCAATCAGGTGCGCTCCATAGTTATGGGTTGACACCAACTGGTTCTTGACACAAAGTCAGGAATACGCCCTAAGGGCAGCAGCGGGAAGAAGGAGGAGTCAGGAGAGAAAACGCATGGCAAGGAAGGAGGTGCGGGTCGCTCACCTCTTGTGTGTTGGTATTGCAAGGAGCCAGGCCATCCCTTCTTCAAGTGTACCAAGGCACCCCCTGGCTGGTCACCACCAGGGTGGGAACCGCATACCCGCGGGAGGACAAAACTGCAGACCAGCAACAGTCGTTCGTTCTCTCCACGAAGGAGTCGCAGCCCCATGCGTAACAGCAAGGGGCGGCAAGGGGAGACAAGCAACGTACTGTTACATGCATTGCAACGGTGGGATCTTCACAAGAAAACTTACCCTCGGCTGGATGGTCGTCGTGGTTGCTGGACAGCGGATGCAGCCAGCACATGACTCCGGACAAGCGCTGGTTTGAAGAATTAAAGGAGTTGGACAAACCTGTTAATGTGGAGCTCGCTGATGGGAGCGAGCTGAGCAGCACGATGACGGGAACGATCAGAGCAACGGCACCTGATGGGACAACAGTTCGCTACACTGAAGACCTATACGTACCTGGCCTGAAAAGCAACCTGCTCTCTTATTGTCAGCTGCTGAAGAAGGGGGCTCGTATCAACACGGTTGCTGATGGAGATATCGACATTGCCACGCCTGATGGAGACGATTGTGTGTGGATTGGACTTGGCAAGGATGTGGCTGGAGTGCTCGTGGTGCAGTATAAGCATGCACTCACATTCGCGGATGATCATGGTCCGTCCCGTGATGATGCGTCATCAAAGCAGCATGGTTGTGAAGAGGGTACACCTTTGTGCACACCGGGAGTGCAAATGGGAGCGCGCTTTCCCGCACACCTGGCGTGCACTTGAGCGCGCGTTCTGCACACGCATCTGTTCAGTACCGCCTAGCGTACAAAGCCAGCATCGTGCGGAACACGACACATGATGTTGACACGGATGAAGTCTCACCCCCTTGTGTGGTGTGGACTTCAGGGGGAGGAGGACAAAGGTTTGCGGTGAATCCAGGAGGCGAAGGAGCAGGCTTTGCAAAAGAAGACTTACATGAAGCTGTCGCAGCTGATGAATTCAGTACAGCCGACGGAAGCGCAAGTGCAAATGATGACTTACCTGCACCGGGTGTTTGTACTCCGGGAGGCGTTGAAGACGTTGCGGATGTGGGAAATGCAGTGGACAAGCCAAGCGGGCAACACTTCACGTGCAAGCACATGGGTGGGGGGGGGTGTGGGTGGCCATCTCACGTCCTCTGAGGCAGCAGTATCGAGTGACTCGTTGCTGCTGATGAACGGCACCACCCAAGGAAAGAGTGGAGAAAATACATGGGAGCACGCAATTCTGCATACCCGGTGTGCACATTCTGCACACCTTGTCCGCACACCTTGTGTGCACGCAATTCTGCATACTTGATGGGCCCAGCATACCTGGAGTGGACATTTCTGCATATATGGAGTGCAGGTTTCGGCATACTTGGAGTGCGTCGGCATGCGCAACCCTTCAGGTGATGGAGTTCAACAACTCCTGCTACTACCGTGTGTCGGCTGGAGTGTAGGGGGAGCATCACAAGAAAACATGGGTGACTTCAGAGCGGACTTGGCATCATCCTGGTGTGGATTTAAGACTTGGATAGCCTTCTGCTATCACACCACGAGGCAGGGGGAGAAAGGCAAGGTTTACGGAGAAAGGCAGGGAGTGAAAGGTTCACGAAGATTCAGCAGGCGCGGACAGGAAACTGCAACAGCAGACGCGCACCAGATCGTCGGCCGCTGACGAACGCCAGGTGGTCGCTTCTATCTCGCGAAGTGTTCACCTGCCATTGAAGGCTGGCGGTAGCAGCACGCCATATGCCATCTGCCACCGATTCGCGTCATCCGCAACTGAAGTCGTCGCAGGCGTGCATCCGCTGCGGTTTCGCGTCGTCGTACAGCAGGCGTGCGAAAAAGAAAGCACCACTGACAATCGCGCATCCTAAAGGCTACGGTTTCGGAAATTCGGCGTGCGCTAAGGGCATTTCACCATGGTTAAGAAGAGATTTCGGCATGGAGCTGCTACGAATTCCTCAGCAGCAGCTATTATTCTCCAGATCTAGATCTAGAAAGTCGAGATTGGAAGGAGGGATTGGAAAACACGAAGGGAGGAGGTTTGGTTGGAGTTTGGAAGCACCAAGAGCTTTTGTGTCAGAATCCCAGTCACTAACCACTGGGATAAAAGGGCTTGTTTGTATAGCGGGTGAGTGCGCCCATAACCCCCCAGGCCGACGTGCCTGTAACCCTTCCCTAGGATCATCGGGGATCCCCAGTGGACCTCTGACACCCCCCCGCATTGGGATGCCCGAGGTGCACACACCGGGAATCGAACCCGAGACCTTCGCTCTGATACCATGTCAGAATCCCAGTCACTAACCACTGGGATAAAAGGGCTTGTTTATATAGCGGGTGAGTGCGCCCATAACCCCCCAGGCCGACATGCCTGTAACCCTTCCCTAGGATCATCGGGGATCTCCAGTGGACCTCTGACAGAGCTTGGGAAGGGAAAAGTGATACAGTGACAAGCAGCTTGGCCAAACCCTAGCTTGGTTTGGGTTGGGCGCACCTCTACCTCTACGGTGGTACACCACCTCATCCACCCCATCCTCCAAGGAAATCAGATTCACTAAAACCTACAGCAAGGGGGAGTGTTGGAAATCCGAATACAGTATATCGAATACTGTATACCAGTATGCTGTTCGGTTTTAGTGTAGTCCTCTTTATAAGCTTCAGGGTCCTACAATAATTGTCACAATTATTGTAGGTCGACAATTATTGGAGCTCAACATTATTGGAGGGTAGAGGGTGGAATTATTGGTACACCATTATTGGTGTGAATGGGGTCATTCTGGAGGGGTAGCTGGATGCATATATACCCTGCTCTGTCACTTCTTCATCATCATTGTGTCAATCATTCTACATTTCAATGATCAACCTGGTTCTTGTGCAAGATTTCTATCTTGTTCTTGTCTACAAACACGTTTCCGCTACGCTAGCACTATGCCTTTCTAACAGTTGCCACTCCTCCCTTCCCTTACTCTATTATTGTTCTTTAGTTTCAAGTACTTACCGTAATCACCCGGACATACCACCCGCCGAAATTGAAGACCCCCCGGGGGCTTGTGCGAGGTGGGTGCTATAGCAGACCTCGTTTCTGTTGGGCTGAGAAAAGCCCTTAGGATTTTTGCAAGGCTAAACTCCAAGTAGAGATGTTGTAATTGCGGAAGTGTCTTAAAGCGGCGGTATACATTTGGCAGGGCCTGTGCCAAAAGTTTATAAAAGGTATGTCAGAGGTCCACTGGAGATCCCCGATTGATCCTAGGGAAGGGTTACAGGCACGTTGGCCTGGGGGGTTATGGGCGCACTCACCCGCTACACAAACAAGCCCTTTTATCCCAGTGGTTAGTGGCTGGGATTCTGACAAGGTACATGGTGGTTACCGAATTACGTGCCACCCAACATCTCTCTCGAGAAACGAGGGGTTCCCTCCCCACCAAGTGAGCCCAGTCGAGTGTCAAAACTTTATAGATGCCAAAAGTATACTAATTCAATCCCCCCCGCACCAGCGCATTCTTGTAGCGTTCTCAGCCTGCACTACCGTGTAGTTCTGGCTAGAAGACCCGGGGGACTCTCTAGAATTGCTTGAGAATGTGCTAGGGTGGACATCATGGCGGTTGCAAATTTTTAAGACCCGGGGTACACTTATTTATCAGTTATCAATCTGATATTTAGGGTGTACGACCCAATTTGGGGCGGGGGGGGGTCTTATATTCGTAACGAATTCGCACAAATTTCGCGCGAGCGGCGCGTCAGATCTGTGTCAGAATTCGAGTCTGACACAAATGAAGTGTCAGAATTCGGGTCTGACACAAAAAACGTGTCAGAATTTGAAATTATGCTAGTAAAAGCTGACGCACAATAACAATAATAACAACTGTATACAGAAAAGGGGGGTCTTATGATGATTAGAGGCCAAGGGGGGGTCCTCACAATATCTGCCAGAATAAAAGTCCCCCTACCCGTTTAAGAGTCCCGGGGGACCTTCTAGCCGGAACTGTACGGTATTAGAAAAAAAACATACCAATAGCATTGAAGTGCGACGCGACCGTAGCAGATCCCTAGGCTCGCCGGCGCCAGAGTCGACGAATACACATCTAGTCGTCGCGGGCGTCCCCGTCGCGTCAATCGTACGTTTAGTGTGGCAGCCGGCCTGGCCACGCGTAGGGTTGCGATCACGCGCGCGAGCCGACGAGCCCGCATAATGTGGAACCTTGTCACGCCTTCCTCCGCTGCCCCTCACTTCGCCTCTTCTCGCCGCTTCACCGCGCTTTCCGTAGTGGTCTCCTCGCCTCCCCACGCAGCCTAAGAGATCCCTCTTTTGCATGATCTGCTCGCCCCAAATCGCCTCCCTCGTGTCCGAACCCGCTGCCTCGCCGGACATCGCGTCGTATCTTCGCCTCAACGCCCGCCACAGCGTCGCCTCGCTGCAAATCCGCACACGGCAGCATCACCTCGCCTCCTCATATTGCCTCCTCACGCCACCTTGATCACGCTCACCGCGCCACAACATGCGGGCCCTTATTCGCCTCCCAATCTCCCCTTTCCGCATCCCGTTCTCCCCTTTCCGCATCCCGTTCTCCCCTTTCCGCATCCCGTTCTCCCCTTTCCGCATCCCGTACTTCCCTTTCCGCATCCCGTTCTCCCCTTTCCCCATCCCGTTCTCCCGTTCCTCGTCCCGTTCTTCCCTTTCCGCATCCCGTTCTCCCCTTTCCGCATCCCGTTCTCCCCTTTCCGCATCCCGTTCTCCTCTTTCCCCATCCCGTTCTCCCCATCGTGCCTCCCTTTCTCCCATTCCTGCCTCTCCTTCTTCCATTCCCACCTCCCGATCTCCCTTCCCTCGTTTCCCTCTCTTCCCTCCCTTCCCTCGTTTCCCTCTCTTCCCTCCCTTCCCTTGGTTCCCTCTCTTCCCTCCCTTCCCTCGTTTCCCTCTCTTCCCTCCCTTCCCTCATTTCCTCGCTTCCCTACCTTCCCTCCTTTCCCTCGTTTCCCTCTCTTCCCCCTCTTCCCTCGTTTCCCTCTCTTCCCTCCCTTCCCTCGTTTCCCTCTCTTCCCTCCCTTCCCTCGTTTCCCTCTCTTCCCTCCCTTCCCTCGTTTCCCTCTCTTCCCTCCCTTCCCTCGTTTCCCTCTCTTCCCTCCCTTCCCTCGTTTCCCTCTCTTCCCTCCCTTCCCTCGTTTCCCTCTCTTCCCTCCCTTCCCTCGTTTCCCTCTCTTCCCTCCCTTCCCTCGTTTCCCTCTCTTCCCTCCCTTCCCTCGTTTCCCTCTCTTCCCTCCCTTCCCTCGTTTCCCTCTCTTCCCTCCCTTCCCTCGTTTCCCTCTCTTCCCTCCCTTCCCTCGTTTCCCTCTCTTCCCTCCCTTCCCTCGTTTCCCTCTCTTCCCTCCCTTCCCTCGTTTCCCTCTCTTCCCTCCCTTCCCTCGTTTCCCTCTCTTCCCTCCCTTCCCTCGTTTCCCTCTCTTCCCTCCCTTCCCTCGTTTCCCTCTCTTCCTCCCCTTCCCTCGTTTCCCTCTCTTCCCTCCCTTCCCTCGTTTCCCTCCCTTCCCCTCCTTCCCTCGTTTCCCTCTCTTCCCTCCCTTCCCTCGTTTCCCTCTCTTCCCCCCCTTCCCTCGATTCCCTCTCCCCATCCCTGCATCCCCCTCTCCCCATCCCTGCATCCCCCTCTCCCCATCCCTGCATCCCCCTCTCCCCATCCCTGCATCCCCCTCTCCCCATCCCTGCATCCCCCTCTCCCCATCCGTGCATCCCTTCCCTTTTTTTCCATACCTTCCCTTTCATGCCTCCCATCACCTCTCCTTGCCGTCCCATCTCCCCGTCATGCCTCCCACCATCTCCACACGCGTACAGCCCTATCTCATGTCACCACTTCACCTCTTCTCCCATCGTCACACTCGCTACGTCCCCCCACACACTCTTCCTGCCATTCTCACCCAGTCCTCACCACCATCCCTCCCTTCCTGCTTCCTATAACCAACCCTCTCCTCCCGCCCTCTCCTTCCTCCATCCCTCCAATTCCTTTCCCTTTCTTTGGCCTGCCCCTTACCTTCCTTCCCTCCCCTTCCTTCCCTTCCCTTCCTTCCCTCCCCCCGTACCCTCTAGTTCTCGTGCATGTGCTGCCATCATTTTTGCCCCATAAATGCCTCTAACTCATTTGTTATCAAATGTATTTCCTTTCTCTCCTCCCTGCCTTCCCGACACACCTCTTCCATCACACCTCCCTGTCTTCACGTCACACCTCCCTGCCTCCCCATCACACCTCCCTGTCTTCCCTCCATGGGTTTGGGGACCCATTATTTACAGCTGCGACACCAGGTGTCAGGGTACCTGTATGCTTGGGATAAGCAGCCAGCTTTGCATTCACATGCTGCTCCGTACAAATGTCCTTGCTCGCTTTGCCCCAGCTACAAGCAGGACAACAAAGCCTGGCCCAAGCAAGCTTGGCGGCGTGAAGGGAGGTGCATCAGGTCCCAGGAGTGTGTGAAGGCGTGAAGATGACACCAAGAGTAGAGGATGGTCCTGTTGTGTAAACACAGCGATGATTCTAACATGTTGATACAGCTTCGAAAGCTCCTTTCATCCCGACATCATTTGCAAACCTACAGATGGTTATAGAAAGAGGAAAGGCGATTGAAAGACATAGGTATCTTGGGTTTGGATGGATGTAAACATTACTTGCAATACAAAGGTGTTGTAACATGCTATTGATAGTAAAGGTACACTGAAGGCAAGCCTAAGCTGAACAAAAAATGGTTCCTCTTGTTCCATGCTGCATGCGAGAGCCCTGAAAGGGAGGGTGGTGATAACTGGGGGTGGAAAATGGAAACAACGGGTAGGAAGGCGGGGGGAGGAGGGTAAGCAAGGGGAGAAGGGAGCAATGGAGAATATCTCCCTTTCCGCTTCCCTCTCATCCCTCCTTGCAATCTCCCGTCTCTCCCTTCCCTCCCTTCTCTCCCGACCCTGTCTTCCCTCATTCCCTCCCTTCCATCCCTTCCCTCCCTTCCCTCTGTTCCCTCCCTTCTCTCCCTGCGATGGTCACGTGCGGTGCCCTAATAAGCCGCGATGGTCACTCCCTTCTCCCTAATAAGCCATGCGCATTACAGGCCCCACCTGCGATGGTCTCTTGCGGCACCAGCGATGCTGGCATTCCGCACGCAGAACTTGCGCCAGCTATGCTGGCATTCCGCACGCGGAACTTGTGCCAGCTATGCTGGCATTCCGCACGCGGAACTTGTGCCAGCTATGCTGGCATTCCGCACGCGCCTGCACAGCACGCGCCAGGCGCGCTCAGCAGATCAGCGCGCGCTTGCGAAAGGCGCGCAGCAAAGCGACACGCGCCTTCTTAGCGACGCCGCCACATCGAGTGTCTGTAACGCTCGCGCGCCAGCAAACAGCACGCGGTTTTAGACACGCGCGTGCCAGAGAAATGCCATGCTCCCTGCTCCCTCCCTTACCCCAATTTCCCTCCTACTTCCCCTTGTTTTCCCCTTTTGCTTCCCCTGCTTTTCCCCCCTTCATCCCCTCTTTTTCCCCCCTACGTCCCTTCCTTTCTCCCCATGCATCCACCCCTTTCCCCCCTTGCTTCCCCTCCTTTTCCTGCCTCCATGACCTCATTTCCCCCCCGTGTTTCCCCTCCTTTCCCCCCCGTGTTTCCCCTCCTTTTCCCCCTGTGTTTCCCCTCCTTTCCCGACCGTGTTTCCCCTCCATCCCCCCTGGCCGCTCCTTTTTCCCCTTGCCTCCCCTCCTTTCCCCCCCTTGCATCCTCTCCGTTCCGCCCCTGCATCCCTTATACCGTTCCCTTGCTTCCCCTCCTTTCCTCCCCGGCTTCCCCTCCTTTTCCCCCCTTTTTCCCCTCCTTTACGCCCCTGCCCCTCCTTTTCCCCCTTGCTTCCCCTCCTTTCCCCCCCTTGAATTCCCTCCTTTCTCCCCATGTTTCCCCTTCTTTCCGCCCCTGCATCCCCTACTTTCTCTCCCTGCTTCCCCTCCTTTCCCCCCTGCTTCCCCTCCTTTTCCCCCCTTGCTTCCCCTCCTTTCCCCCCCTGCATCCCTTCCTTTCCCCCTCCGCTTCCCTTCCTTTCCCTACCTGCATCCCTGCTCCCAATCCTTTCCCCCCTGCTTCACTTCCTTTCCCCTCCGTGCTTCCCCTCCTTTCCCCCCCTGCATCCCGTACGAGAGAAGGTACATTGGGAGGGTAAGTCCTTCGTAGAAAATGACATCACGTGCTGCCACTATTTCCTTTGTGTTGATGTCGAAGATTTTCCATGCGTTGTAATGTTTTTCGATGCCCAGGTGTACTCCCCACTGTGCGCGTTGAGAGAATCGGTCGGCTCGTGCGGATGGGGGTCATTACTGGACCATACATCCGAACACTCGTAGAATTTTTGTGCTGCCCAGTTTTCCTGTCCACAGCAGGTGCGGTGATGCGTTGTTCGGGAGTGATGATGACGAGAGCAAGTTGTGCAGCATCACAGCGTGGTCCATTGCTTCGGGCCACTGGTGGTTGGGTAGCCGCATGCCACGTAGCAGCTTGCGCATGGTGTTCTGGAGAGTCATGTTCATCCTTTCTGCCACGCCTTGCTGTTGATGGGCGTAGGGGAGATGGGGCGCTTGATGCCCCGCTCTGCCAGGTAGTCCTTGAACTTCTGTGACTGATATTCTCCTCCCCCGTCTGACTGGAAACTTTTTAGCTTCACCCCTGATTCTCGTTCTGCTGCTGGAAGCCAGGCGGCGAAGGCGTCGAGGGCCATGTCGCGGCTTGGGAGATTGAAGTGCCAGACGTAGCGTGTGGCGGCGTCGATGAACGTGATGACGTAATTATACGCCCCTTGTCCAGGTTCGAGATTGTACAGTATATCGCTGTACACTATCTCCAGAGGTGCGTATGTTGGTGCACTCGGATTGTGTGCGAGACGAACGGCTGATGCAGTAAGTCTCATTCAGAACAGGTAAAGCATGTTCCACGAACTCCCTGGAGTTCTCTGCCGTCAATTAGAAGCAGTGAATCTTTGTCGAGCACGCCAACTCTTATCATATTATTTAACGTTGTGTTGCTCGGATGTCCCATTCTTGCGTGCCAAGTTCCTTCGGTGGCGTGATGTCCAGGTGAACGTCTACAAGTCGGAGTTGGAGTAGAAGCCTGCGGTGAAGTGTGTGCTTCTGTGGACTTCTCGTGGAGTGGGAGTCAGCTGTTGCGCAGGAGTCGATGGGGTGTCGTCGATGAAGACCGGTGCCGTTGAAGGGCCTGTAGTTGGTGTTGGTGTTGTCTCTGCTGCTGCCGACGTTGTTTTTGCTGCTGCCGATATTGTCTCTGCTGCTGCCGATGTTGTCTCTGCTGCTGCCGATGTTGTCTCTGTTGCTGCCGATGTTGTCTCTGCTGCTGCCGTTGTTGTCTCTGCTGCTGCCGTTGTTCGCTCTGCTACTGGTCATTGAATTGTTGCTAACGCTCTTGTTCGTTCTGCCTCAGGTATTGTGTGCGAATACCAGAAGCCGCCGGGGCTGAAGTCAGGATCAAGATCCGGTGGATGTGTCCACGAAGTGAAGGTTACGATTTCGTCGCTGTCGGCGGTGCCTAGGTCTGGAACGAAGTCGAGGACGAAGACGTTGTTCTTCAAGACCGCCTTTCCGATGTAAAGTCCGCCTCTCCCATAGTACAGCTTGAACTCCTGGGTGGTGCTGTCTGCTTCGAGGTGAATGCCTTTCGCCATTAGTAGACTGACGCTTAGTAAATTATAGCCGACTCCTGAGTTGAACAACTCCTTGTCGTCGTGTGCGCAGGTTCTGATTGTTGCCGACGGTGATGACGACTTCGCATTGGAGCTGATGTTCTCGTTGAATGAAGCGGCCTGAGGAGCACATGTGTTGTCCGCAGCAACTGTCCAAGAACCAGGTGTCATTCCCTGACGGTTCGCTCTAGGCGATGGCTGCGTATGTCTGGTTCGGCTCCAGTGTCTCGCAGCGAGTGGTACTTTCGTCGAGCTGTTCTTCCGGTGAGTAGTGTGGTGGTGATTCGGTGATGCAGGAGTCGGTTATCATCGCCATGCAACTGACAATGTTTCTTGATCCTTGTGCAGGTTGTGTCGTTGATGTCGTTGAAGCTTGTACTTGAGTGGTGGGATGCGCTTGCGTTGAGGCGACTTGGTTGCTTCAAGGTCGAATCTGCCGCTGCGTTGGTGTTGACTGCTCCCGGTTTGGGCTGTGTGTGCGGGGATGTCCTGTTGTTATGCAAAGATGACAAAACGGAGGTACGGGTCTTGGTTGATGCCAGTTGTTGTTGTTGTTGTAGCGCCGTTGAGTGTGGAATGCAAATTCGGGTACTGACGTTTCCCTCTCCGTGCCGCTCCTTGTGCAGGTCCATGTCTTGAATCTCGGCGCAGAGTGCTGCTTCGGAGATCTTTCCGTGGGCTCTGAGAAGGGCGTGGATGGAGCGCCAATGAGGACCAAGTCCAGCGATGATGACAGTGACGAATGCCTCTTCTGATATCGCTCCTCCGCATCGAAGGAGTCTGTCGCGCAGTCCGTGACAACGGCTGATATAAGCCATCCCCTTTTTGCTGGGTTTCATTTCCACTGTTGTCAGCTGTGCCATGAGACGACTCTGATTAATGCTGTCGTTTGCTTGATACAGGCCTTTCAGATGGTTGTACACGAGCTCGGCGGAGTTTCCGTATCCGCGATCAGATCGGATGTTCTGCTGCTCGTTTGGCGTTATGTTGTGTAGCAGAATCGTGTACGCCATCAACGACTGATATGTGTATTGCTGCTTGTCGTTTTGTGTCCCGCTCGTTTAATATGGCAGGGACCCGTCGAAGAATCCGAGAATCTGCGCGCCTTCCATCATCAGTTCAAATTCAAATGACCAGGTATAAAAGTCTTTGCCATCGAATGGCCTTGACGCTTGCAGCTTTAAGACATGCGCAAATTGCGATTGAATCTGAAGTGCGTCCAATGTCTTCTCTTGTCCAGGTGAAGGCTGCGGCATGAAGCTGATGGAGCCGCGCTGAGGCTCGTACGGAACGAAGGTAGGTTGCTGCTGATTTCCGCGCGCGCAGGATGAGCCGTCGAGACTCATAGGCGCGACATCGTTGTTGTTGTTGTTGCTGTTGTTTGACTGCGCAGGTGCTGCTTGCTGGTGTTGCTCGTAGAAGGACATGAAGGAGAAGAATTTCTCCATCATGCTTGGGTCGAAGCCTGCAGCTTGATTCGCGGAAGTTTCGGTAGACTGAGCAGCTGGTCTCGTTGCTGTGCCTGTGCCTCCCTCTGTCTGTAGGCCAGAGGCTGGAGGCGGAGTAGGTTTAGTACCGCGAGAGCCGTTAGAGGAGCTTCTCTCCTTCTGTGTTGCCATGCCTTCTGATGTTGTAGGTGTTGGGTTGAAGTGCAGTTTTGCCTTGTGAGCTCTCATACCATGTTGGGCTGAGAAAAAGGATCTTTTGCAAGGCTAAACTCAAAGTAGAGATGTTGTAATTGCGGAAGCGTTTAATGAGAAGTATTGAACCACCTTGCGCTAGTATGTGAGGGCAAGATAGATTAATTAAAGCAAGAAGATACATGTTTTATAAAATTACAAGGAATATGAAGAGGTACGGTTAATAACCGTTTTACTGTTGCTGTTGCGGTCGATACAGTGACGAATCGGGCAACTGCTCAATAACAAGTCAGTTGTTTGTCCTTGCTGTCGCGCTGTACTTGTCAAGTCAAAGGTCGCTGACCTTTGACCTTCGCGTAACCTCCAGCTGTTACGTTTTGTCAACCTCCTCGGTTGACTCGCCGGTGCTTCTTTGTAGTTCGCTTTGCCTGTGGTTTAGTGCTTCGACACATCAAAAGTGTTTAAGTTACTTGTTTCCAACAGTTTCGACTATACCCCCCTTTTGGTGTGATTTTCTATAACAACCAGCTTTCTTACAAAGTTTCAAATTATAGCTGTTAGCGAGTACTCCAGAACATCACGAAAATCACTTCCTCGATGAAACTACCCGTCATCGCCCGGATATAAGACATATATGTCTTATCTCGTACACGGGCAAAAATGCTTGGGTTGTCTTGTATTTGGGACGGTTTAGGGTGTCTTACTGGTCTTATAAATGGATACCCCCTCGTTATACAATTGCCCCTAACTCCTACACTTTCTTAACCCGTACACACAAATAGGTGTCTTATAATGAGGCTAGCCTGTTTATAAGAGACACACGGATAATAGACAACACCTGTCTACTATGCAACACGGTCTACTATCCGGATGATGACGGTACATGGTAACTTTGAAAGAATCTGCCGAAATCACCCCCCTCCCTCTTTTACGCTGCTGCCACGCTGGTAGATAGTTCACTAACAAGTGGCCAAAAAGGTGCCACCTCGCAATTTCAAGAAGGTAAAAAGGTTCTCGCCAAAACCCACATTCTCGCTTCTAGCTGTGATGTTAAACCAATTCTGAAAACACCCAAGTTGTCTTTGCATCAGAATCCTTACACTAAAAAATACAGTGTAAAAAAACCCGGGTGTTATGTAGCTTTTTTTTTTGTTTTTTTTTTTTTTTTGATGTAGTTATCATAGCACCCTAGGGTGGTATGTCCGGGTGATTACGGTAGTTCCAAAGGTGGAATCAGAGGTAGGTTCATTCCTACCATAAGATAGCGCTCCCCAAGGTCCTTGTTACCATATCAGACCAATTTGGCGTGATGATCGGATTTTCGGACTTGAACTTTTGTATTTATTGTCGAACATTGTATATGTTGTGTTTGGTTAGGCTACAGTGGGTTAGCCTATATGGGGTACACAATTCTAGGGTTTGCTATTTGTACTGATTTCTCTGTTAGTTCAATCATTCCTGTCCGTTCATTCTGACATGGTTTCAGAGCAGGTCCTTCGCTAGGACCGTTTTTTTTTAGGGCCCACCTACCTACCTACCTACCTAGGGCGCCTCGTTTTTTTTTTTAACGGCCCCCTAAGGCCACGCGACCCGCCCCTTAGCGACTCGCGCGCTGCCCCTTACGGCCCCGTCGGCCCCGCGCTCGCCCCTTACGGCCCCGCCGCGCCGCCCCTTAAGGCCTCGCCCCTTACGGCCCCGCGCTCGCCCCTTACGGCCCCGCGCTCGCCCCTTACGGCCCCGTCGGCCCCGCGCTCGCCCCTTACGGCCCCGCCGCTCGCCCCTTAGCGACCCAGTCGGCCCCGCGATCGCCCTTACCGGCCCCGTCGGCCCTGC